ATTGCCTCTAGTGTTAGTTTTATCTGCCATTCATTTGAAGAAGCTCTTTCTGTTGTCCAATACTAACTTAGACATTATCTTAAATACTAATTTAGACATTTTCATAGCTCGTATGACTTAAATATCAATAGCAGGTGCATACCATCTAAATATGGCCTATTTTTTTGGCAGCTTGATGTAAAACTGTTTGAAAAATGTGTTAAATTTTAAGCATATTACAACTGTGTTTGTGTTTTTCTGGTTCTTTAGGTCTTCATTATTAAGCCGCTCTCAGCAGATTCACCTGAACTCTGATCTAAAAACATATTTGATGCAAAACTGCAGTGGTGAGCCTTGCATGTTGAGTGCAAGGGAGTGGGTTAAAGACCACGCAGCTGCTTACATTGACAAAGAGATTTCAGCTTCCCCAGTGACACCATTAAATGCCACGCAGTCAGAAAACATCACGTTCACTCGATTGTGGATCTATAGTCATCACATTTACAACAAGCAAAAAAGAAAGAATATTATTGACTGGTCCAAGGAGCTCTCTCTGTCAGGATTTTGCATGCCAGGGAAACCAGGTGTTGTTTGTGTAGAAGGTCTGCAAAGTAGTTGTGAAGAGTTCTGGTCAAGGTTAGTTTTTCTTTGTACTTAGATGCCATGGCAGTTACAATAGTACATGTTTCATGTTTGTGTGGCTGGAAGGTGGGATATCCAACTGCCTTCCAACCTGTAAAGGTCTGCAAAGTATTTGTGTTTATCATAATGTATTTAACAACCCTGAATATCCACTGTGCTGTTGGTTACAGCAATCAAAGCTACTAGTACTGCATGGTGCACCTTTATTTCTGTTTTACCTTCCTCCGTATTTGACTTGTACAGCAATAGACTGCAGGACCCCAGTCGTGTTAGATATGTATGCTGTTATATCACTTTACATTCGTGTTTTATTATGCTCCCACCCTTTATATTCCTGGGTGGTGCAGACTGAATGAACATTGCCCTTCATTATAACGGCTAAGAGAGTATGAGAACATGAGAATTCTTAGCACAGGCAAGGCAGAAGTGAGCACTGAAATTGAAACCACATCTTCATCAATTATTTTGTGAGGAATAACATTAAGAGTTTTGAATCCTAGGGAGATACAAAGAAACAAGCTCCTGCTTATGGAAGTGGTTATGTGTGAGTATTTCTGTGACCATCTAGGGAACCATTATCTCTGTCAACATGCATTTACAAATTGAATTTATTGACTTCTCTGATAATAGATATTCCATAGTATTTTCTAAAACAGTCTTTATTGTGTAGATTCATATTTCTGCAATTACTTTCAGAGTAAGAAGATTAACGTGGAAAAGAATTCTCATTCGGCACAGAGAAGATGTTTCTTTGGAAGGTGGAGGACATGCTGAGATTCAGAAACAAAGAAAGTTCTCCACTTTGGAAGAAAAATGTTTTGATGCACATGGTGCCAGAGGAAATCATATGGATTTAGGGCAGCTATATCACTTTTTAGAAGAAAAAGGGTGTGCTGACATTTTTCAAATGTACTTTGGGGTTGAAGGGCATTGAAGGAGTTGAAGATCACCAGAGGTCCAAGTGCCTGCAGTTGTAAGTTAATCCTCTTAACAGGTTCCTTAGCTGTTCTGCAGCAGTTGATCAGAGAGGAAATCAATAATTTCTGGTTTATAGGATGAATTCAGTTTTCAATGAAAACAAATGTTCAGTGAAATCCTGAATAATGAAAATGACTAAATTAAAGCTTTATTACACTTTCTGGTTTTAAGGACATTTAGGGTACTTAATTATACAATGAAAGAAAATATGTTTTAATTACCTGCTGGGCAGTGACAGAATTATAGATGAATGAATAGGTGGAATTCTAGTGAATGAATATATGAATAAGAACAAACAGAAATGAAATCTCAGGAGAGGAAATGTGATATTTACATTCTTTTTTACTGTTTACATACACTACATGAAGACTTTGTTGTAACAATCTTTTCTTCTACTTTTTACCTGAAAGTATATTAAGCCATGAGATGAATGTTTTATTTAAAAAAAAAAAAGGAGAGAGCAAGTTCACAGAAGCCTTCTTCATATCTTCATACAATCAGAATGAGCCAGGATGCCTCCTCTAAGGCTGAAGAATTTTCCGTAGGTGAAAGGGTGTGTGCAGCCGAGAGAGAGGCTGTGGAGACTCACACCTCCCCGTCTGTAGCTGAGGAGTTGCCTGTTGACGGATGTGGAAGCAGAAGCTTACCAAGGACCGGGCTCCCTTACACTCCACTCCAAACCAGCAAAGCCACCCTCCCTCTGCCGGGTTCACAGGTTTGCAGTGCGCTGCTTTCAAGTGTGCTACGCCGCTGTCAGTCTGGATTCAACAAATTTGTATCAATGCAGGCTAATTTGTTTCTTTGCTTATGGATTCTGTATGTAAATCACGGAGATGTCATAAAAAGTCGACATTGTTTGCTTCTGAGGTTGATTAAATATTTCTGCGTAGATCTGGTAAAATTCCTCACCTCCAGCCCTCCGGTGGGAACCTGGGCGCCTTTTGCAGTGATCTGCCTGTGTCGGCAGCCTCGCCCGGTGTCCGCTCTCTGCCAGCGTACCGGAGAGCTGCCTTGCCCGGTGCCTGGTCTCTGTCAGCGTACCGGAGAGCTGCAGCTGGCCGTGTCGGCAGCC